TTTTTTGTTGTTAGAAAATGGAGTTCCATTGAAGACAAATTACTATACTTTAATGTGTTACTACATTTTCGAGTGAAAAATGAAATTTTTCAGGTGGAGATGTCCTAATAATCCATTTAGAACCACTTTTTTTTTAATTTTTAATTTTATTAATAGTTTAGTATAAAATAAAAATATATTAATATTTAAATAAACATTACTTTTATTTTTATTAAGTATTGTATAAAATGATAATGGCGGTGAAGGTGACCAATTTTCAGAGCAAATTTAATTTTTTAAAAATGGAAATTTAAAAAATACATAAAAAGTAAATTAAATATTATTTTACGAAAAAAATATAATAACTAAAAAACATAAATTAAATATATATAAAAAAAAACAGAAATTACCTGAAGCGCCCCTAAGATAAGTAATTATAAATCATGAGCAGGTTTGGACAGCCTCGCTCCTCAATTCATCTCCCTCACACTCTCTCGGTGGCTTAAATCTGGTAAACCGGTTCACACCCAAAGCTACACACCACGGGCCAGTAGCCATGGCGGCATGGTCTGTGCCATTTCTCGAGTTCCAACTTCTTTCTGGTAAATGCCTGCCCCCACCAATTACCATCTTTCTGCCGCAGACGCACTCAGGCTTGCTCCCTCGGGCAGGCTTGCTCGCTCGATACCGCGACTTGTTTCGCTCACTATTGGAGGTGAAGCTCGCTTCCTCCGGCTATTTTCAGGCAGATATGCCTCATGGGTGAGTGAGGAAGATAAAGGAAGCTTGTCCCATCAGAAACCGAGCTGCCAGACAGCAGGGAATGCTGAAATAGTGATCAAACAAATACCATTTATGCTCCGTTTAGATCTGTCTACAGGACGACATGGAGTTTTTTCTTCGGATCCGAAGTTCTTCTTTTATCCATCGTTCACTGTTGTGGTTTCCGGTTTGTATTCTACGCCTCTCTAGATCCTGCGACCCTAGGCCTACTTTTTTGTCTTTTTTTGAAATAGATTTGCATTGCGTTTTCCTCTGTTTTCAACTGTACTTCGGATTTACGGTAGGAAAACGGTTTCCGCTTTTCTATTTTTTCAGAAGGTCTGGAGTTGCGTTGTATTCGTGAAGAGATTTGTGCCGCATTGGATGAGGTATTAACCCATGTTTTGGGACCTAGGGTTGAGGTGTTCTATCATTTCCTGCGTTGAAGTGTTTGTAGAAAAGAATGTCCATTGGAATCTATGTTTTTTATGTTTATTGTAAGCGCTTGGCTCTTGACTTTCCAGATAGTGGGTTTCGCTATGTTCTTGTAATGGAGAGCTAGCATTTTTCTGGAACTGGAATGCGGTGATCCGTGTTAGTTATGGCAGCTGCTTTTTGAAGATTGCATTTTAGAGATGGAGAGTTTACAAGAAGATGATTTGAAGGGGATGAATGCTTCAGCTGGAGGCCTCGTATGGGTCCGCCGGCGGAATGGTTCATGGTGGCCTGGACGAATACTGTGCGTTGATGAACTGGCTAAGTGCTTGCGCACCAAGAAGGCCGGGACACCCGTCAAGCTGCTTGGAAGAGAGGAGGGGACTGTGTGAGTACAATTTCTGCTAATTAATGTCTTTTCCGTAGGATTCTTGAATCCTTGTTTTTAGTTGTACCTCACATGTTAGTATTTGCATCATTCGATCTATGAAATTTAATTGCATGAAGACCAGTTTGTTTTTTAAAGAAAAGTGGAAAACAAATGTAGATGGCTTTGATTTGGTAAGATGATGATGCATGTAAAAAGCCTGTCATAGTTGAGCTACCTCTGATCTGTACAGTGCCTTCTGATGGTGCTTTTGGAGCTTTTTGAAGTGATTCATGACTAGTGTTGTGTTTTAATGCGATTGGTCTCATTGTTTTGTTTTTCTTCAATGCTTTGGAAATAGAATCTGAATCCAGCTTGCTAAAGTTTGTTTGGAATGTTAGATTTTTTTATAATCACACCAAGGCCTTTCCTATTTCTGACGATCTCCACCATTATTGTTAGATGATCGGACAAGTAGGTCAAATGCATTCAACATTGATACCGGTTGTTCCTTAGATCTCATCATCACTTTCTTCCCACTTTCTTCGCGCCTAAACCTCTAAGAATGCCTCCTTAAGATTTGGTAGTGGTTTAATGCCCATGATTCTACCTCGAACATCATCCAATTCTCTGTTAAGTCCTAGGAAAAATTTGAACAACATTTTTTGTTCCACAATCTGCATGTACATTATTGCATCTTCTGGACATGTCCATAAGTGAGTTTCAAATAAATCAAGTTGTTGCCAATGCCATGTGAGTGTGTTGTAATACCGAGTAGCATACTCCTATCCTTGGTAGAAGTCATAAAATATTGTCCTGAAACAACTTTGAAGTATTTTTAGAGCTGAAGTAAATCTATTTGGTTGCATCCCTGGCAGCTGCTTTTTGAAGATTGCATTTTAGAGATGGAGAGTTTACAAGAAGATGATTTGAAGGGGATGAATGCTTCAGCTGGAGGCCTCGTATGGGTCCGCCGGCGGAATGGTTCATGGTGGCCTGGACGAATACTGTGCGTTGATGAACTGGCCAAGTGCTTGCGCACCAAGAAGGCCGGAACACCCGTCAAGCTGCTTGGAAGAGAGGAGGGGACTGTGTGAGTACAATTTCTGCTAATTAATGTCTTTTCTGTAGGATTCTTGAATCCTTGTTTTTAGTTGTACCCCACATGTTAGAATTTGCATCATTCGATCTATGAAATTTAATTGCATGAAAACCAGTTTGTTTTTTAAAGAAAAGTGGAAAACAAATGTAGATGGCTTTGATTTGGTAAGATGATGATGCATGTAAAAAGCCTGTCAAAGTTGAGCTACCTCTGATCTGTACAGTGCCTTCTGATGGTGCTTTTGGAGCTTTTTGAAGTGATTCATGACTAGTGTTGTGTTTTAATGCGATTAGTCTCATTGTTTTGTTTTTCTTCAATGCTTTGGAAATAGAATCTGAATCCAGCTTGCTAAAGTTTGTTTGGAACGTTTGGTTTTTTTATAATCACACAAAGGCCATTCCTATTTCTGACGATCTCCACCATTATTGTTAGATGATCGGACAACTAGGTCAAATGCATTCAACGTTGATGCCGGTCATTCCTTAGTTCCCATCATCACTTTCTTCCCACTTTCTTCACGCCTAAACCTCAAAGAATGCCTCCCTAAGATTTGGTAGTGGTTTAATGCCCATGATTCTACCTTGAACATCATCCAACTCTTTGTTAAGTCCTAGGAAAAATTTGAACAACATTTTTTGTTCTATAATCTGCGTATACATTACTGCATCTTCTGGACATGTCCATAAGTGAGTTTCAAATAAATCAAGTTGTTGCCAATGCCATGTGAGTATGTTGTAATACTGAGTAGCATACTCCTATCCTTGGTAGAAGTCATGAAATACTGTCCTGAAACAACTCTGAAGTATTTTTAGATCTGGAGTAAATCTATTTGGTTGCTTCCCATATTCTTTTGCAGTCCCAAAGAAAAGAATTTTTCACCTATGCTATTATTCATGGAATTGATAAGCCATGATATGATCATACTATTTTCAATCTTTTACTAAAACCCGGATTTGTAGTCTCTGGCATGGTTGCTGCTCCCGAGAGATACTCATCCTTTCCCTTACCACAAACGAACAAAAACACATATTGTGACCATTGCAAATAATTATGACCATTTAATTTATGTCCTGTGATAAGAATAGGAGAAGAATCACTACCACCAAGGTTTGGAATTTATGAATTGCTTTTTGATTCTGCTGCCGTGATGCTAGGTGTTTGTGATGAGGCTATTACGTATTGCGAAGAAGAATCTGCTAGAGATAGGCTGCTTGACGGGATTAGGGTTTAGAGAATTAGCTCTAGTACCATGAAAATTTTCTTAATTGATTATTTTGCTTGATAAAAAAATGATATTACATCTACATACATTATATATATATCTTTCATTCTCATATACTATTTAATGGCAGTCAGCCTTCCAAAACTCTTGATGAATAACTTACATACCATCACTAAGTCTCTACATGATTTTATTGCTAATCTATTGATACAATTTATACATTTATTTTACATTCCGTAAGGCTTATCACCTCCATGTCCTATTGATCACCGTATAAACATTCCTCCACTCTCCAAACCGGTCAATATTCATCCTTAATAATATCTTCACTTTCACAAGGATGCAATTTTATAATTAGTTAAAGAAATTTTACAATAAGGTATTATTATTCAACCTCATATTCCTTTCTCCAATCTTGTTCCCTTGGTGAAAAAGCATGATGGTACTTAGCATTTTTGCATTGACTATTGCGCACTTAATTCCCTAACTATTAAAGATAAATTTCCAATTTTTGCAATGGACGATTTATTGGGCGAATTACATGGTCCAATCGTCTTTTCTAAGCTTGACCTCCGTTCTAGATATCATCAAGTTCAAATGCACCCAAAATACATCCATAAAATAGCTTTCCGCACACATGATTGTAATGTCTTTTGGTCTTACGTTCTTAGCTTGGCAGGGTCGTTATAATTTTCTTTGATGATATTCTCGTATATAGTTCTACCCTATCTTTTCATGTTGATCATATCCAATTGGGTTTTCAATGCCCAGATTATCATAATCCTTTTTTAAAACTAACAAAATGTCAATTTTTTAAAACTTCAATTGAATATTTTGGTAGTATTGTCATCACTGGTAATGTTAAAGCTGATCCAAAAAAAAAATTGAAGTCATGCTTAACTGGCCTATTCCATCTTCCTTAAGACATTTAAGATCTTTTGTAGGGTTAACCGGTTACTACCGTCATTTTATTTTCATGCCTCCATTGCTTCTCCAATAACCAATCTTGTTAAACAAGATGCTTTTAAATGGGACACGACTATCTCCACTGTTTTCCAAATTTTAAAATTGATCATGACTTCTGCCTGTGTTAGCTCTACCTAATATCAACAAACACGTTATATTAGAAACAAATGCCTTTAACACCGTTATTGGTATAATTTTATTGCAAAACAATAATTCAATTCTTTCTTTAGTAAGAAATTGGGCCCATGCTTGTTTCAATCCTCTACTTATCTAAAGAACTCTACGTCATTATTGAGGTTGTTTGCAAATGATGCCAATATCTCTTGGGTAGTTAATTTATCATCCGTACTAACCATAAAAGCCTCAAGGAACTACAAAATCAAATTTTACAAGCCCCCGATCAACAATTTTACTTTCATAAGCTTTTAGGTTTCTATTTCATCATTGAATATAAGCCCGATAAATCTAATAATGTCGCCGACTCCTTATCTCATATCGTATAGCTGATCCCAGGGAGTTTTCTGCCTCTTCTCTTACTTCATTGTTTTCATTAATTACACTTTTTTCTTTCTCTTTTTTTCAACAATTAAAACAAGAATCTCTCATGTCCTCATAGATACTTCAAATTACTTTGCAATTAGCAAAAAGGGTAATCTCCAAGTAGATTACCATATCAAGGAACAGTCTTTTATATTATAAAAATTGTATTTAAATTAGTAAATATTTTGCCCTTAAAAACATTTTACTTACTGAATTTCATTCCACCCCTTTTGCAGGTTATAATGATACATTTAAAACCATCAAACACTTTATTGCAAATTTATGCTGGGAAGTCGTTGCTAAATTTGTTTGTTAGTGTTGCATTTGTCAAGAAATCAAGTCCTCGAGCATGGCTCCGACTGGCCTCTCCTCTTTCAATACCTTATCAAGTTTGGATTTGTCCATGAATTTCATAACGAGTCTACCAAATTCTAGAGGTTACATTACCATTTTGATTGTTATTGATCGTCTCTTCAAATATGCCCATTTTGGTCCCTTGCCCACTACATATTCAGCCTTCCAAGTTACCACTCTCTTTGCCAATGTGGTTGTCCGTTTGCACAGTTTCTCAAAATCTACTTTCCCAAATAAAGATAGTTTTTGTAAGTAAATTTTGACATCATCTTTTTACTCTAAGTGGCTCAACTCTTTACTGTAGCACTATGTATCATCCAGAAACAAATGGCCAAACAGATGTCCTAACTATATGTTTGGAACAATACCTTCGCGCCTACACTACCAACACACCCAAATTATGGTCTATTTTTCTATGCTAGGCCTAACTCTCTTATAATAATTCTTTTCACATTGTCATTAAAATGTCATCTCCATATCAATCCTTTTATGGATGTTTATCTACCTCAATACCTTCCTATGTTAATGGCACATCAAACATGCATACTATATATTCATTACTAACCAGCCGCGAGACTCTTTTACATACCCTCCACACTAACATGTAGCAAGTCCAACATAGAATGAAATTAATGGTTGATTATCATTGACATAACTTACAATTATCAGTAGGTGGGTTTTGGTTAAATTACAACATTTTCATCAAAATTTTGTAGTTAATCATACCCGCTCCAAATATTCAAACGTTATTTCGACTCCTTTTAGTTTTAATCCGTTGTCAGTATAGTGTCATATCAATTAACTCTTTCCTCCGTATAGTAAGATTCATCTAGTCTTCCATATCTCTGTCATCAATCCTTTTTTTGGTACACCTCCCACTACGATTACACCTATGTCTCTTCTTAGCCCTACAACCAACCATTAAGCTTACCTCATTCTATACTGACTACCCATATTATCGAAATACATGGACAACCTCTTAAATATGTTCTTTTACAATGGACACTTTCTACTCCAGATAATGCCACATTGGAGAATTTTTCAACTCATATTTTTTTCCATCCCTAAGAGCTTGAGGACAAGGTTAGTTTTAATGGGGATGGGAGTGTTCTCTGGATACAAATACAATACAAAAATAATAAAAAATAAGGAGAAGATTGGATCCACAAATCTGAAGAACAAGCTCAAGTCAACAATCAAAGTTTATAGTGTACACCTGGTCTAGTAAATAGCTTAAGGACCGAACAAACTTATGGTTTCATTAGAAATAAACCTATAACATCGGGGGTATTTTTGTATACTAGTTTATTATTATTTTAGATAGCTGACCCTTTTTTCTTTTCACTTGTAAAGCCTATAAATAAATCCCCTTGTTGTAATTATAGGCACGGAAATGAAATTCTAGTTTTTCTCTCCCTCTTCTTCTCTTTTTCTCGTCTTCTTCCTCTAGGAGTCTATACCTACTCCAAAGGTGTCCTATCTTTCTTGATTCAATCAAGAAGCATAACAGATTGTTTGTAGAACTTGTTGTGTTCCAGTGGTTTCTAGATTGTTCATTGTTTGCAATCTCAGGATTTGGCCGGACAAACAACAACGTTTATTGCTAGGACTGCGTTACATCTGATCAGAACAACCCAAATAGCCTGTTAGCTTTCGTTCCATTATTGTAAATGTTTGAATGGATTTTAACCACATATGCATATACGTATATTTGATTGACTTGCTCACTTCTTTGGCTGCTTGGTTTTCCGCTGTTTTCATTATCCGAATACAGTCCAGCTAGATGCAAATGTTGTTAAAATGGATTTGATATCCAGGTCTTGGCTCAATAAGGATGCTAATTTTGATAAATGCCATTCTTTTATCTTTAAGCAAATATCTTTATTGCATAAAATGTATTTACGCATTTTGCACATTAATTATTTTTTCTTGCATTTAGTTCTTGTAGAATTTCACAGCCGGTGATTTGGTGATATAAACCTTTATGTTTTTCTTTTTTTCATGAATTCTCGTTAACTCTTTGAGATTTTAGTATCATATTTAGGCCGTTTCTCACATGTAAATAGTGATGGATGGGGCCTGGGGGCTAGTAGAGCTTGTTGGAGTTGGTAGATGCATAGAAGATGAAACTTCTGTGGTGAAAGTAAAAAATGCATGTTGAAGTATATGAACGAGCATTTTACAAAAGTAGTTTTTATTTTTTTTTTGTATTTAAAATTGTAAAATAATGCTACAAAAGGAAGTCTCTCAACGATGTTTTAGAATTAACTTCATACTGAAGTTTTCTTTGTGGCTAATAAAGGAGTTGCTATTATGGTGACCGGCATGGTTTAGCGAGCAAGTTTACTGTGAATGTTTGACTTGCTGAGCCAGTTGCTAACTTTATGCTGGTTTACAAGTATGAAATTTCACTGTTGTGATGATTCCATCATAATTTATGGATATTATGCTGAGTATTTGTTTAGCCTTGCTGTCTTTATGTATTTATTCTTGTTGCTTACCTTCAGGGACTGGTATAATTTGGAGAAGTCTAAGCGTATTAAAGCATTTCGCTGTGGGGAGTACGATGACTGTATTGCGAGGGCTAAAGCTTCTGCTATTCGCTCAAACAGGAGAACAGCTGATTCAGGGAAGTATGCTCGCAGAGTAGATGCTATTCTTCATGCACTTGAGCTTGAAAAATGCCATTTAACCAGTGGGAATAGCAGCAAGGTCAGTTGTATCGCTGAAGATTCGCTTAAACAGAAAAAAATAATGTTCAAGAATAGGAGGGAAATTGTTTTTACTGCAAGGAAATCTGGCAAACCCAAAGAAATCTATACTCATGAACTCTCTCACTCTGTTGCATTATTTGAACGATCTGAGCAACCATTGAACAGTGCCGTACATAAAAAGAGACGGAAAAATCCAAATGATTCTGAAGATGATGGCGATGAAGGAATAAGGAGAATGAAAGATCTCCAGGACCTAAGTTTGGGGATGGTATCAACAGGGAAGCCTAATGTGCGTGCTAGCATGAAAGAAACCTGTGCCAAAGGCTCATCTGGGCGTGCTTCACAAAATGAACCGGACTTTGATAACAATTCATCTAGTATTAGCCATAGAAGCAGCTTTAAAAATTCTTGTTTATCGTCTAAAACTACCCGGTTATTTCATGTATGTCAGAACTTAAAGCGGAGAAATCGCCGGCGGCGGCGACTAACTAAAATTTGGGTGGGTTCGGACAGTGTTAAGGTAAATGTTCCATTAATCTATCAGGACAGTGTTATTACTGGAGATTTACCTTCTTATGGAATCACCATGAAACGTCTAAATGATCTAAAATCTTCTTCAAAGAAGAAAAAATTCTCATTAATGGATACTAGTAGTCTTGACTGCTCAGAAAGTTCATACGAAAGAACCTCACTACATGCTCAAGAAAAAAATGGCACTGCAGTTTATGATTTAAATCCTCCCTCTGTGGTGAGGGATGATGCTGATGATAATAACCTTTCGAATGGCTTGGTCAACGTTCCTATTCTTATTGGGGAAAGAAATGTGGAAGGTATGTTTTGACCATTATCCATTATATTCTTTGTATTTCTTTTAATTATATGTTAAAAAGCCAACTGTTTTTGGGTTTATGTTTTTCTTGAGAAATATTCAGATATTGGTATGAATAACATTATGTTTTTCTGTTGAAACAAATCTGAGTGCTCACATCTATGCCAATCTTGCCACTTCTGACATTAAGTTTTCATTATGTTTAGCTGTTAGAAGGATTCTTTAAGGCTTCGTTTGGGACGGCTTTCTTACTGCTTTTTGAAGCAGCTTTCTAGTAGAAAAAATATTTTTGTACTAAAAAATTGTTTTAAGAAGCGGTAAGAAAGCCGTCCCAAACGAAGCCTAAGCCTCCTTTTGAGCGGTGTAATTGAAGTTGTTCCGGAATAATTTCGAAGAAATAACTGAGGAGCATTAACTAGGAAGCTTATTGTTGAGGTTTAGATTCTATAAACTACACTGGTCTGCACCAAGTCTGCATGCAAAATTATTCATGTGTTCAGTAATCTATTTATGTATTCGGTCTTGTACCCTTTTTGCTCCAATCTTCAAGCTGTGCTTATTTAATGCCCTTTTTTTTTCTTAGATCCTACTTTTGTCTCCATAACGAGATGCATCATTTTTCTCATCTTTATCTGCCCAGGTGTCCTGCCCATCTGCAAGACTCGTGCATCAAGAAAAAATCACTCCTATTTATCAGAAAAGCTCTCTGTCCATTCCGTTCAAGTTTGTATGGTTTCAAAAGCTGGTGAAGGACTTGTTGAGGCTTCCTCTACAAATTCTGTATCTCCTGCTAATCATATCGCCCAGAGATTAAAGAAGAACAACATCGGCCTCAATTCCAAAGTAAGGGGACATTCTAAATATTCAAGTTTAAACATGAATCTAAATTCAGTAAGTTCTGATGATGAAGCTGAAAATGCTTGTGATGGCTCATTGACCTCTGATATCAGTGATCAATCAGTCAGAAGTGGATCTCTTACAGAACTAAGTAATTTCCATGAAGCTCAGACCATACTGGCTTCAAGTGCCACAGCAAACGATTTCCCATGCATATACAAGTCTTTGCAGTCCGGCAACAATCTACAGTGTAGCTACTCAACCTCTAGTGCTCAACTAAAGGGAGCTTTAAGAGAGGTCTTCACCTCCACCATGCAAGTGCAAGATTCTGATAAACGTGAGCAGAGTCTTGTCTCCATTTCCCCTCGATGTGCAGTACTGGAACTATCCAACAGTGCCAGTGTGGCGTCCCTATATGAGGTTGAGTTGAAGGTGCAAGCTAACTATCATGGTCAGCGAGCACCTCTAGTTTCTCTTGTTAGTAAATTGGATGGTAAAGCCATTGTAGGTCATGCTATCGCTGTTGAAATTTTAGGTGATGGCTCCAGCGCTGCTTTGCTGAATAGTAGCATTAATTTTCTCAGAAACAGGGTTAATATAATTTGTAAACTGAGCGAAAAGCTTAATGACCTGAAAAAGTCAGAACTGAGTGTTCATGAAACATCTCATCTTTCATGTACGAACTCTCCTTTGTTGGAAAGGAGATCTCTTGTGGGAAGGAATCTTTCATGTAAGAACTCTTCTTTGTTGAAAAGGAAACCTCTTTGTGGAAGGAGATCTGGCTTTTCTCCTAGAAAGATTCGTAGGTTATCCTCCATTACCGTTGATCTCAACAGCAAGGACAATGTCAGAGAAATAATTGTGGAAAAGGTGGAGCCATTGTTTGTCTGCTGCATACCACTCAGAGTTGTTTTTGGCCGGCTGCATGAAGCACTGGGCTGTTCGTCACAACCAGCTAAGTGAATATCTTGTGATGTTTCTCATATCCTCCCTGGACATAGAAGTCGTAGATTTTGAACTAGAAGGTTTTTCCTAACATTGCAGAACGGCCTATGGTGTAAAGCATAGAAGTTCTTGTTCATAATAGTATGCATCCAACTGTAGTGGTAGATAATCTTTAGTTGGTTTTGTCAACTGATCAGCTTGAAGTAACTCTTCTGCTTTGGCCCTTACGGCTATGTAACAACATTTAGGGCTAATGTGCTTCATTTTTGACATAGTATTAGTAGAAAATATTGTTTATGCTCTTTAGCTTTCCTGTTCTTGGTATGAATTCATGTCCTTTGACCTTTTTGTTATTGGCTTCAACGTTTCATTCTGCAAGTGTCAAAGGAGTGGTAATTTTGTGCATATACAAAAATGTCAATATATTGTTCTTTGCTTCCAGCCAATTTGTTTGTTTTTATCTGCTTGTTTCTTAGAAAGCTGTACGGTTAATCTGTTCATAATGGTGTGCAGTAACTGTTTATCATCGCTTAATTTTGCATTGTTATATCCATTCAAGAAATACATTTTTTAGTTTAATGCTATTAATTTTGTGAGGTGTTATCCTAATTCATTGGCATCTACATTTCCTGTTGTGTGCATCATAATTGTGTAGAGATTAAGGCTTTGTTTGGGACGGCTTTTTTATTGCTTTCTAAAACGGAGTTTTAGTGCAAAATTAAAAAAAATTGTACTAAAACTCCGTTTTAGAAAGCAATAAAAAAGCCGTCCCAAACGAAGCCTAAGGCTTCGTTTGGAACGGCTTTCTTGTTCTTTCTTAAAGCAGCTTCCTAGTACAAATTTTTTAATTTTTATACTATGAAGCTGCTTTAAGAAGCAGAAAGAAAGCCGTCCCAAACGAAACCTAAGGCTTTGTTTGGGACGGTTTTCTTACTGTTTTTTAAAGTGATTTTTTTTTGTATAAAAATTTTTATTTTTGTACTAGAAAGCAGCTTTAAGAAGTAATAAAAAAGCTGTCTCAAATGAAGGGATACTTTCTTACCATTTTTTAAAGCAGCTTTCTATTACTAAAATTAAAAATTTTGAATTAAAAAGCTATTTTAAGAAACAATAAGTCTTCTTTTGGGACGGCTTTTTAACTGTTTTCTAAAGCAGTTTTTTTTTTAATAATTTTTTTTATTTTTGAACTAAAAGCTGCTTTAGAAAGCAGTAAGAAATCCGTTCCGAATGAAGCCTAAGACATCATGGTTTCTTCAATCCGCTGGACCTCTGATCATGCAAAAATATCAAGCCTGAATGAGCCTTTCTTTACCCTTTGGTCAGCATTTTTTTCCTCCTGCACGGTAATTTACAATTTTTTAAATTAATTTTGAATTCTTAAAGCGCCATAGATGTTTTGCGAGTACTAATTACTCTGCAAAACAAAGTTCCTTAGCTGTAAGAATTTCTGATATTTTTTCTTTAGATTGTTGATGATCTATCCATCGTTCAAGAGATGCATCACTTTATTATTTTCATATTATATCCCACAGATTGCATGGAGGATTGGGTGAGAGGAAAGAACCCTGCTCACTCAGTTTGCATCTACGTTTGGGAAATTTCCCCACTTGATTCTATTGTTTAATATGATCAATCTCCAGTTCTAGTATAATAAAGCGGCTTCTTAGAAGGAAAGCAGAGCCCTACACCGGGTCCTGGTTGGGTATCTATTGGGTACCCACGCTCTGCGCCAGCGGGCTTTGCCCACCCATGCCCACCTATGGTGACTTTCGGGATGTCATACCCACCCACACCCACTCACTTTTCACGCTTCTTGAATGCAGTCTGCCACGGATTAATGGCCTTGAGTTTTTTGCCATTTTCTATGACAGCAAAGTTTCAAGCCACATATAAAAATTTATCGTGGTCATGATGCGGTTCAGTGTTGCGCACTGCATAGTAAGGATTACTGTAATATACTGCATGCATGTGATAATTAGTAATGTAAATTAGTTTGTCCGTTGATGTTGAGTACCCACCCATACCCACCCACAAGGTCATGGTGTACCCATACCCACCCATGCCGACTAGGTATGGGCGGGTGTGGGTGGGTGTGGGTATGAGCACCCAATGCAGGGCTCTGCAGGAAAGCTTATTTACATATCACAAGATTACAAGTATAAGATATGGAGTAAGCTTTCCTTTTCGGTGCGTCAATCTGGGCGTAAACCACATGAATTACTAAATAATGAAATAAATAAATTCAAACATGAAGAGTACTTTAGATTTTCATGTTGAGTGGGATGGCTATTTGAGGCCGGGCCTAGAGTATAGGGTTTGATTATTTCCATTGTGACTTGAATTTTATGTTCCCGATTCATAGTAATATTCTCTCTACAATATATGATTAAGATTTTATTTAAGATAGTTTTTTACTGTTTTTTGAAATAGCTTTTTAGTGAACTAAATTTTGATTGAAAAAATATTTGTTCCAAAAAAATATTTAAGAAGCAATATAAAAGTTGTCTCAAATAAAACTTAAGATTATGGAGGGGTGTTAATATTTGATACGGACCGAAAATCTAGCTCGAATCCGGAACATAAATTTTGGGTTCAGGTTATCCCGAACCTGAAACGGGTTGGGTTCGGGTATGATTTTCGACTTGTTTAGAAATTAGGGTCGGGTTCGGATTGACCCGAAAATATGAGAATAACTCTGTTTTGACCTGGATCGACGTATTTAAGAGATTTGGCCGAAGAAGCGAATGAAACGGAGAAAGCTCTTCACAGCAAGCAAACTCCAGTCGTTGCTTCCAATCAAAGTATTGTAACTTACTATCCGACTAGAAGGGAACGTGTCCAAGGAGCGAAGTCGAACAGCAACGACCTTCACAGCGAGCGAACTCGTCGTCATTGCTTCTGATCAAAATGTTGTAACTTACGATCCGACCATAAGGGAATGCTGTCCAAGGTGTGAAGTCGAACATCAATGAAGGTGACTCACTTGGCGGGTCGGATTCGGATCCGAAAAATCGACCCGTTTGTAAAAACGGGTCGGGTTGAAGTGTGCCGGTCAATTCTATATTGGACCTGAACCCGACCTGTGACCCAATTTTGACAGTCCTAAGATTATGTATGTGACCTCTGAGAGAAGAAGCGTCTTGCTGAAATTCTCATTTCCTGTAAGAATTGTTAGAAAGCAGAGTAGACGAATACAGAGGAAAATAGAGAAGAAGATTGTAATGTGTACTCACTGTATTCTAATAAAACTAAAAGTTTCATGAAAACAATTAGACGAGTACACATATATAGATGAGAAAAGTTAACAAGAGCTGATTTCACCACATGGGTAGTTTGTGTTTGAATGGTCTGCATGCAGTTGATAGTTTTAGTTCATCGACTGAGATTAAATCTGATAAATTGAGTATGTGCTGTTGCAAGAGAGATGGAGAAGTAGAGAGTAATGTGGGCTGTATGAGCGTATAGCTTATCAACCTCTCCTCAGACCTTGTTTTGATTAGATGCGATGACTTGAGTTGATTAACTTGGTAAGATTAATGTGGTGGTAGATGCTCTGAGCAGAAAATCTTTTGAATTATCTTGTATTCAACTTACATTTGATGAGTATTTGATACAGGATATGGAAAATCTTCAATTAGAAGTGATTTCTTCTGTTGATCTTAATTTTGATATATTAACTGAGGTGATTATTCAACCTTTTTTGTAAGAAAATATTTAGGAATCTCAGAAATCAAATGCATAATATTTGAAGTTGATTGATCAGATCAAATATGAACTATAAGTGTTTAATTTTGGTATTATATTCTTTAAGAATAGATTGTGGATTCCTATATCTAAAGATTTCAGGTTGGAGATTCTGCACAATGATCATTATTCAGACTATATTATTCACCCAAGAAGCGGCAAAATGTATAGTAATTTGAAAGATATGTTATTGTGGCCTGGATTGAAGAAGAATGTGGTAGAGTTTATTTCAAAATGTCAAGTATGTTAGCTAGTGAAGGCAGAGCTTCATCGATTGAGATGTTTTTTGCAGTCGTTATTCATTCTTTAGTGGAAATGGAAAGAAGTGATTGTGGATTTTGTTATGAGTTTTTTCAAGTTTAGATATACATATGATATTGTTAGGGTTATAGTTGATCGTCTGACAAAGTCTGCTCATTTCATTCCAATCAGATAATATGATTCTGCAAACAAATGTGTATATGTATAGATATGACATGTTTACCTCTAAATTATGGAGGGACATTAATCGAGGTTTATATATTAAACAACATTTTAGTACGACATTTCATTCTCAGACTAATGGACTGGCTAAGAAGACCATACAGCTACTAGAAGATCTTTTGAGATTGTGTGTTTTTAATTTTGGTGGTTGTTAGGAGATCACATTCCTCTTATTGAATTTGCTTATAATAATAATATTCAGTCAAATATATGTATGACTTCTTATGAAGCTCTGTATGATAGAAAGTCTCGGACACTATTATTTTGGATATAAGTGGTAGAAAGATATGTGATTGGATCCATTTTGGTTGATGATGCTATTGAAAAGATTTGCTTGATTAGAGATTGGTGTAAAGTTGTATGAGACAGACAACAATAGTATTTTGATGCTAAACATCGGGTTGTGGAGTTTCAAGTGTGAGATTTTGTATATGTAAATATCATAATCTTGAAAGGCATTAACAAGTTTGGCAGGGAAGGAAAGATAAGTCTAAGGTACGTTGCACCATTTGGAGTTATTGAAGAATTATAAAATTTGCTTGCATGTTACAATTGTCAGATCAAATGTTTGAAAGCAAATGTTCAAGATAAGTCTAATCCCTTTTTTTATGTAAATCAAATGTAATTGAACATTTAATAAGAGATAAATAACACAATTAACAAGAAAAAATTATGAGGTTTTAGGTTGGCTAGAATCATATGCTATATGCTTACTAACCTCATAATGTTATGTTTTTTGAAAGGGATTTAAGGAATTTCTCACTTCAATAATGTAAAACATTTAGCATAAATTCTTCTTTAGATGAGGTATATGTTAGGCCATAACAAAGAAGATGTTACCATATAGTGGATTCATGAGAAATGAGTTTGAAAGATAAAAAGAATTAATCAAATTAGGATTTTAAAATTAAGCAGATGAGGAGGATCTTCTCAAATCATGATCAACATTCAATTGAGAGGAAGTTTGAGATTACTTAGATATGGACCAAGCTCATAAAATCATGATCAACAATATTATTTTATTTTATTTTTTTTTAACAAATATGAAGGAAATATAGTCAAATTAACCTTCTTAGCTTTACATGTCTTTACTACGAATTCCATTTCCAAATACAGCAAATCAAACATCTCCAAGCTATAAAAAATAATATTGTTGGATGGGAATTGTCTTCCATCTATTAGTAGAGGAGGTCCACCCAAACAAAGCAAAATAA